TTTCATTAACTTTGGAAGGGATGAGTGGTAAGTGATGAGGCCTCAGTATCTGCCTGAAAAGCACAAAGTGCATTTTAAAACAACTTTGGTGTTAATACGTGGCTGAGAGCTTTTGCCATTGATTCACCCAAACCAGGACTCGCTCTCAGATGTGTTTTACTTTGTCTTAATGAGGCTCTACTCAGTATGGTTCATGTCATTGCAAAGAATGTCTATATTTCCTCTAATAAGTCAGATATTGCAAGATTATTTTTCTCTATAGAAGTGCTTTTCAGGCTGCTTCAAAGCCGATGAGATTCGAATTAGTCCAAAATTCCCTGGCAGCCTCCACATGAATAACTTTCCGTCACTGAGAAGTGTTTGTTTCTGGTTCTTCTGTGCTTTGCCCAGAGACAAATGAGGTTGCTCAGAGGAAGGCTCATCCTCAGGAATGTAATGTGAAGTCCAACGAGAAATCAACTGGTCAGGCAACATCACTGGGTCTGGTAATAATGTTACTAATGACAATAATGCAGGCAAGGGGATACTGATTGACAAAATCATCCAGGCTGTTCTATCCAATATCAATTCTGAAGTTCCAAACATCATGGGGAGGTGAGGGTCTGACAGAAAGTAGTGCTGTAAGAACTGGTTGACATGGTATGGATAGTAAGGAGAATACCTGATGGATTTACTGTTAATTTCCCAAGACACTCAGCAGTTCATAGAAACTCGTTTTATTGCATTTCTCCCAGATCAGGATCTGAATCCCAACATTTTTATGTGAAACAAAGATGGGAAGAATTGCAGACTCCAGGATGGAGTTATTTCACAAGTGTTCTCAAAGGAAAAAAATTGAATAATCAAGTAATTAACACACAGAATTTGATTTCAACTTGAAATGCAGAGCCAAGAAAATACCAAGTACAGAAACTTGCTGAAATTAACAGAAGATGGGGAAAAGGAGCAGAAGCCAAGTCTTCATTAATAACAGAAGCAGCACCAAACCTACAGAAAGCATATAATGAGATATTTCATATATTCTTTCTTTCTTTAGATTAACAGTTCTATATTTGCCTATAAGTGTGTGCACAAAGCCACATGCTTTCCACAATTTTCTGTGGAAATTTGTGGTTTTTTGGCCATTAGAGACTCACCCATCAGAAGAAAACTACTCTTATGGAGAGGAACAACACAAGAGCATCTACAGGAGAAGATATTATTGTCCAGTAAACTATTCTGCAGTGTTTTACTGATAACCAGGTAGGTGGAAGGTGGTGATGGTTGGAAGGTCTTGACAGGACCAGAGGCAACAGACACTAAGTGAAACAAAGGAGGTTCCCTCTGAACATCAGGAAACACTTTTTTACTGTGAGGGTGCCTGAGCACTTACACAGATTGTCCAGGCAAGTTGTGGAGTCTCAATCCTTGCTGCCTGGACACAGTCCTGGACAGCCAGCTCTAGGTGACCCTGCTTGAGCAGGGGCTGGGCCAGATGATCTCCAGAGGTCCTAGCCATCTTTAACTATTCTATGATGTTGTGGGTGCTACAATGATGGAAAGGATATGTAACCACATCAGCTGGACAGAGAAGTATCAGTGCAATGTCACTGGGGGAACCACAGTGAAGAAAAATGAAGGAAGAGACAGCTGGAAAGACCAATAAGAAGCTGAAAAGCACAACAGTCACTAAGGGAGGAGCCAAGGGATCAGCAAGAGAGACAGGGCTGGTGGGCAAAGGACAGGAATATGTCCTGAGGTTTACAAGGAGCTGAAATCTATTGATTCAGTAGAAGCAGCTGTCAGCTCCATTTTTTTCAGGAAAAAGTTTACTCAGCTCCAAACAGACCTTTCTTCCAAATTCCAAAATTTCCTTCTTCCAATTCCAACTCCCTCCTCTCTTTCCGTCCTTAAGAATTCCTCTCTACCAAAGTGAACCTGGTACTTGGCAGAAAACGGACAGGGCTCGGGAATCGCTGCAGTTGGCAGGGATAACCAACCATACTGAAGTGATCAGAGCAGCACACGCCTTACCCTGCTCTGCTTCCAATTCTGCCTCGTTTCACATGTGAGATTACAGAATTTTGGTAAGGGCAGTAACTTGTTTCCCGAACTGCAATTAAAATAGCCGTGCCCCAGCATTGCAAAAGAGCCCCTTCAAGAAGAATTTTTGCCTTTTTTTTTTAACATTACAAATGAAAATATTGTTTGGTACTTGCACACCCTCTGTTTTTTTCCCCATAAAAGACCTGACAGCTAGAAAATACTTCTTTATTCCAAGTGGGATTATATGGGGCATCTCATTTTTCCCTTCTGTGAGGAGAGTTCTCATTCCTCCTGCATTGCTCCCTCCTCTAAAAGCAGAGCTCATTATACTGAACACAACATTCACATGGACTTCTCTCATTTTATGAAACTTAATTAATTCACAAAAGGGCACCAGTAATGCTAGACTCCATAAATAAAACAAAATAGAAACAACCTCAAAAACCCAAACAAACAAGAAACAAAAATCTCACACAGTAAAAGAATTCCTGATTATTCTCGGTATATGAACCAAATAATGGAAAAGAAGCGAGAAACACAGAGACTCGAAGTATGTCACACATCAGGATGTTCAACCTCATTTTGAGCTTTGTAATATTACTATATTGTGTTTTGGTTTGCCAACTACTGCAGAAAATTGTTGGCAAGTCCACTACTTGCAAGAAAACAAAATAAAAGACCTTTTTAGTCAAAGTAGAAATTAATAAACTAGTACACAAATACACTTTATTTTAATTAACACAGTTTTACACAGAGCAACTAACTGGGATTACTCCTTCTCCCACACTTTTTTACTAACACAGGCAAGTGCTTAGAATAAGTTTTAGAGGCACCAGTCTTTTCAAATAATACGATTAAACCTCTAGCAAGTCACGTGATGTTCAACTTTTAAAATAACATAATTGCAATTCTGTCTCTATCAAATTGCTCAGCATGATAACGCTCCATCAAGTCTATTTTGGTTCCCCTGTAAAAATGTGATTTCAGACCTGTGTGTCTTCACATGGCATATTTTCAGTTAGGAGCACAGTCTGCAAATCCATCCTGGGCTCAGCATCGAAGGGGTGGTGCCTCCCTTCTTCCAGCAGCAGACTCAGAGAGTCTTTGTCCATTGGGATTTCCAGCACAGTGCTCTGCCACTGCCTGTACCTTTAGAATGAGCACCAGCCCTCTGTGACAGCCAGGTTGATTTTGATGGAAGATAATGGAGAAACTTCTCTACATGCACTCTTGGAGCCTTAAAAATAATTATCTGTGTCCCTCTCTCCTCTGAAGCAAGAACTGCTCTCAGATCTCTGTTGAGGAACTTTGTTAATAATGACAAAAGCCAAAAAAATACACCTATCACTGAATTCCCAACACAGTAGTTACCAGTTGTTATGCTTGTATTTCTTTTTGGGTTGGTTTTCTTCTTTTTTAAAACATATTTAAAATTTACAAAACTTATCACTCACAATAACACTTTCTGCCCCCTAGGCTGATTTTAATAAGACTGTTTCTAACACATGAGATAGGAAGCCATAAATGGAATACAGGGAACTGTTTTTCTACACACAAACACCTGCTCCAACTTTTTCACTTGGAACTTTGTTAACTTTAATGTTATTAAGCTACTTGTAGGAGCTGCAAAAGACCATCCAGGTTCACTACTACCAACAGTTTATCAGCAGGGGCAGAAAAGCAATGGACAGAATAAAACAATGAAGCATCCTTGTATTAAGCTTTAATCTAGACTCCCTCCACGTACCATTCACAACACTTAAACTCAACACAAGTTGTGACTTCACACTCAGGACACTCCCCAAAGCCTCGAGTCACAAGAACAAAGACTTCTCAGCATCGTTCACCATCGAGCAAGTAGGAAGCAAGAGACCAGCAGATACAGTCAAAGCTCATCCTCCACCCACTTGAGAAGTTCAGCCTCCTCCTCTCTGGCTGTCACCACTGCAGCCACATTCCTGCACGGCCCATACAAAGAAGTTGTGCTGCAAAGATGGCTCTTCTGGGGTCCTCTCGTTCTTCTCCCCATAAATCTACACTAAGCACAGATTCTTGTCTTCCTCTTGGAGGACTCTACAACTCTACCTCCTTCACTGAGCAGCTCTGAGAGGAAACAGACAACTCCCTCAACTCAGGTGGTATCTCCATGCCACTGCTGCCCTGAGCACCAGCGTGGTGTCTTTGTGCTTCCTTCCACTTTTCTCATTACACATATAGGGCCATCTAATTAAATTTATAAACCCTTATGCATCAATGCCTTTTTAAGGTTTATTTCTGTCAAACAGCAACTTGTCCCTGGTTAAAAACAGGCAAATGGCTACAGACACGTGCCTGGCAAAGAGATGACAGTTTCTTCACTGTGGCCTTTATCTTGTGTGTTGGCTCATCTGCTCGTCTCTTTAGGCTCCTGAACTGCCAGAACAGAAATCACAAACTGTTTCAACAGTACTCAGTCCAGTACAATGAGCTCCCTCTGGTAACTGAAGCATCTGGGTACCACCACAACAAATATTTACAAAAGGAAGAGCAGAGATTTATCCTGTTTCCTAAGCAGCAGTGGGAAGAATTAACATTTGGTTATCCTGGTTATCCCTTTGGTATATAATCTGCTGTAGTTATCTGAAGATACAGGTCAATAAGCAACAGTGTATTTTGGCAGGTATTCCACAAGCAGCAGCCACCACAGAGCTTTTATTTTTGTTAGATACAGCCTTGTAGAAGTAGAAAAAGAACCTCTACATATCTACAGTAAAAAGGTATTCCCATTAAACTATTTAAAAACCATAGGTTCAAATAGCTTAAAATCAACATAGGTTTAAATAATACATGTTTTTTTACTTTTATATCTGCCTAAATGTACATCTTGTACTACAAAATTAAAGAAATATTTCTTGTCTACCAAAGTCCTGCCTAATGAAATGCATTTCTGAGAGAGAAGCAACACCCAGACAGCATCAGCACTGTACTCTCAGTACCTGTTTCCACAGTGTTTTCTGTTTCTGCTGCCTCCAAACCATCCATACTGTCTTCATCCTCCACTGCAGTTTTTCCTCTACTCCGAGGCCTGCAAACGCAAGAAGGAAAAACTCTTTTTAGACTGAAAGCATTTTAAAAATTAGGATTTAAATACTTTTTTTTTTTTTGAGAGATAAATGTCAACACTAAATTATGTAACGTTTAAGCTAACCCATGATTTCAGTGTCATACAAATCAGAAGTTTCCTCCCCTTTTCTCCTGTGATAGGTAATGTCCTCAGAAAGGTACACTTGAATCAGGAGTTGGCCCTTTAAGTTTCTCTGATTCTTCTCAGAAGAAAAATGAAATAATGAACTTTTACTGATGAAACAATAGATTAAAACAGGCAGATTTTAAGACACAAGTACCCTGTTTGCTCAACATAAGAGGAGAGATAACACTATCCAAAGTCTAGCCAGCAGTTACTACAAAATAGAGACTGATCCACCCAGAGCATCCTTGGATGAGATTTCTATAGAATAATAATGATGCTAAGGCAATGAAATTGAAACACGTATTATCTGCAGGGAAACAAATATTTTGACACATTAAGTAAAATGTTATGAGAGATGACTGGATGTCATCACGTTAAAAAAGTCATCACGTGAGGACAGCCTGTCAAAACCAAAACACCTGGCAGATTTGTTTCAATTTCAGCCGAGGTCCCATGGAAAGCAGACGGGTTTATGCTACAAAATTCCAGCCTTTTTTTCCCTGCCTGGCTCTTCAGCGACTATCATGGTGGGCTGTTGAGAAGCCCAGGCATCCAGATTCCCAGCTGTTCAGCAGCCCATTTGAAAGGGAGCCAAGAGCTTGGCACCTCGCCTCCCAAATTTTCAGGCTACTTGGCAACCCGCCTGGCATGCTGACGGAAAGCCTGGGAGACCCTGGGAGCTCCTGATTCCAAGTACACAAATTTTGAGCGGTTTGGGGCATCTCAGCAGCTCCAATGTCCCAGAGCTCCCAGGCAACCATTCACCCAACCAACATGCCTTGAATCAGGATGCCAGGCAGGGCCAGCCCACGGGCACCCCGCCTGCTCCTCCCCAAACAAAACCGCTCCAGTTCCTCTTTCATAGACGATTCTGAAAGGTTTGGGTTTAGTTCTACTCTGAGGAAAAAAGGTTTTGGTTGTGTTTTTCTTTTTTTTTTTTAAAGTGATTAAATCATTCCAAAACCAGCATTTCCTTTTTTTGTACAGTCTCTTATAGCACTTGGGTCTACCCAAACTACTTCCGCAGAACTAGATCCGCTAAATCAGCTACAAAACGAACTCCTATCGTGCAATGCCTTTGATTCTCTTGGATCAAAGAACTGGACAGTACTGGAACCATCTCTGGAGCCTACACAGGTTGTTCTCCTGCTAGAAGACGACTGACTGCCTAGGACTACCTAACAAGACAACTCCTTCAGATTGTGTTGGAACCACTTTGTCTCTGCAAAGGAGGAAAAGAAGAATTAAAATGAGGCTCAAAACAAAGCCTGAAAAAAAAAAAAACCAACTCTATTTACAAAGGAGCTGGGGGGAAGAAGAAAGTGGGAAGAGATGAAGGACAGAAGGACTTTTCTTGGCATCCCTATAAAATTTGTTCAGGATAATGCTGAAAAATGTGAGCACAGTGGGAACCCAAGGGATTACAAGGTTATCTTTCCCTTTGCCTGCTTATCCATAAGCACTGACAGCATATCCATAACACACAAAATAATAAATAGCTGCCTTAGACGAGGTAGAATCCACCATCCCCTTCAGTTCTTTGCCACTTTACAAGCTTCCCACTGCAATATCTTAAAACCTGCGTTTCACAAATATTTAACCCAGAATAAATTGCACAGCCAGCAGAAGAACCCGCCTCATGCTCCTCCCTTCAGACACCATCTCAGCCCATCCAGGAGCACAGTGACCACTGAGCTGGCTGGAATGTGGACACACATTTTGGAAGCAGGAAGGACATAAATATTTCTTGCAGCAGCATCTGAGATGGTCACACAGAAGGATTCCCATCCGTAACAAAGAGTAGGGAGTAGAGCAAATGGAACATTGTACCCACTGGATAAAACAGGCTCATCCAGCAAGACTGGGACACAGTAAGAAGTGTGACATCCTTCTAACACAAAAACAATGCAGCTATTAAAAAAAAAAGAAGCAGAAAAAGCTTTTAGGTATTAAATTACTTTCAGTTATTCACAAAATCCCAGAACATCATCCAACACCAAGAAAAAGGATGGGAATGCCGGTAAGTGAAATCACTTCCCTTGGTGCAGGAATGCTTGAAAGCTTTACAGAACACAACCAGCTAAGAACAGGGATTATTTCTAAATCCTATCCCAATTATTCTTCTACCAACTATCCAACTGCAATGCAAAGTTACAAGTCCGTACTAAACAAGGATTCCTTTGAAATCATCACAAACATTAAATGGTAATTCTGCTTTCTTCAAAAGTACCCCTTTTCAGTATTCCTCAACACAACCCTGCAGGTGGAACTTGCCGGACAGTTGAAGATGACAATTGTTCATGTTTATTTAATAATTTACATACAGTTTTAGAGTTTCTATTAAACACCAAAGCACCTCACAAAGCCTTTTTAAACATTTTAACAAGAGCAGTATTCACTCCTTGAACTCCCTACCGTATTTTAGCAACCTATTTAACACCAAGGAAAATCAGAGGTTTCAATTAATTAAACACAATTGCTTCCTTCAGCAAAAGGAACCATGTCTGGTATTTTCTTGACACTCCCCTCTCCCAAATATTCTACAAAAAGCCTTCATAATGCTGTGCAGGTTTTAAATGAAACTGAATAAATGCTGAAAAAACTGGCAGATTATATCATTAACTTATTATTGCTAGTTACATTTATTTCCCAAGCATCAGAAGAGATTTTGTAGCCTACAAATTTATGTTTGGCTTAGAGAAAAAAATAATTCAAGTCAGAAAACAGTGAAATATATACTGTTCTGACAACTATAATTTAATGTTTCCACAGCAAATGCTGTTTAAGAAGGCCATATACCATACCTAATGGTTGTAATCAACATTTGTAATAAGAACGGACTGTTTCATGTTATTTGCATTAAGTTTATACATTTTATTTAATAGTTTTATACACAAAGCTTTTGGCTAGTTTGCATAACACTCCATTTTTCTACTGACAAGCCCTGTTAATTTCTTATTTTTCTATTTACTTATTCCACTCCCTCTTAAATACAGTAAGGAAAGGCAACCTGTGCTCTGTTCTTTGCCTGGGGCTTGACTACTTCTTCTCAAGTTCATCCTTCTGAAGGAGGATGTGAAAAGGCTGTGGGGGCAAGGCAGGGTTGGGCCAGTTTGTGCTGCCTTAAAACAATTACGGAACAACAGCCCGTGCCTATTCCCCTTCACTCACACAAAGCCAGACAGCACCGAGCCACAAGTGCTATATTGAACGTTATAACCTCAGTTCTGCTCTAGATCTTGAATTTCAATCCCAAAATTTCTTACTGGGCGGGGGGGGTGTGTAATTATAACACACTTTTACATCAACGCCGCAGAAACCCCATCAGCTCGCGACGGTACAAGTATTGAACACAGATGAGCCCCGTCTCCTACGGCTCACAAACCCAGAACAAAATGTACAGGCAGGGCCTGACCCATAAGGACTCCACCAGAAAACAATAAATATTAGTCAGTGGGCAGGCAGTGAGCTTGGTACGCGGCTGAACCGCTGCCAAGGTCTCTGCGATGGCTTCCTCGCCTGCCTTTTCCCTACAACAGAGTTCGATTTAGAAGGAAGAAACAAAAGCACATCTATTTCTGTTTAAAAGAACAGATCCACTGAGAGAAATATAACTTCCTGAAGTGTTTAAAGCACATTCAGCATTTCATGGAATAAAGTCAATAGCAAAGACAAAACTATACTTTTTTATTCATATAGGACTCCAGTTGAATATAATTACTGTCTACAGTTATTTGACTCATATTTCCATAAAAGAGTCATTTATCAAAATCCTTTGTGACCTACTCCTAAATTTTTTATCAATTAGTTTTTTTAGCTAATGCCTTTCATTAATCTCCATCTTTAAATATACAACAGTAAACAAAAAATCTCATAATTCTTCTCTGGGTAAGCAACTAATTAAATTTAGCCCAGAGGAAAAAGAAAAAGCCCAGAAAAACCTTTTGCAGGGCTCAGCAGAGCATTAGGTACTCCCTCTACACAGGCAGAAAGCCTTGCTGAGGCTCTCTCAAAGCCCTGATGACTTCACTAACACTGGGAGATCACCAGGCATCTGAGCGGCTTCTGTTGAATGCACGGAGAGCAACACAGATGCACAATGCTGGGAGAAAATGGAAAAGTATCTTACTCATCTGACAGCAATCAGATACTGCTTCTTTTCTTCTCTTTTCTGCATGATCGGGGTGTGTTTTTTTGGTGTTTTGTTTCGGTTTTTTTAAAGGTTGTATCAATAGCACCATAACTGGACGAGTACAATGTAGCTCAGAAGCACATCTTGGATCTTACTCATTCTTTTCACAAAGAGATCAGGAATAAGGCCATGGGCCAACATTTCCTGGAACCACATGAAATGACAGACAGAGTTACCATCCTCAGATGCCAGGTTGCTGGTTTATGATTACCAAGAAGTTACTGCCAGACACCAGTTTCTGCAAGTCCTCCCTAAGTTGCTACCAACAAAATCACGTGACTGTTCAGACCATCCATCAAAACCACCTTGCAAATCCAGGGCATTTTGTTCCAGGCTTATGCAAACAGGTACATCTGAGCCACTTCAGAGTTTTCCCCTCTTTCCCACATGCTGAAAGCTCTACATCATTCAGGGGAAAAACTACCTCCCTTACTTTGCAAACCGCGGAGCAAAACGATGGTACTAAATATATAAAACAGGGCCAATAACCTTAAAAAGCAGTGTAACATCTGGGATACAGTAATATCCTAAACCAGCACAGATGTCTTGTTAAATGAACATCTGTCCACAGCCTTACGCTGGAAGATGGTACAGGAATGATTTATAAAAAGGTCCAATTAGTGCTGCCATCAGCACGGCTAGT